ATGGTATTCACTTGTTTCAGTTAAACAGTAATTTTTTTTTTAAAATTCGGGGTTTTTTTTTTTCAATTAACTGTATATAACACTTATCAAAAGTTTGAAAAATGTCGCTTAAACCAACAATTTGTGAAGAAAATAAAATTACAAAATTTACAGTACAAGTAATAGTATATTTGATAAGTGTTATATACAGTTGATTAAAAAAAGTCAAAAATCTGAACAAAATTACTGTTTAACTGGTACAAGTAAATACCACCAAACTTTAGCTTAATAAAAACTGGTCTAGACAAATTAAACAAATATTTTCTTTCAATAAAAAAAAAAAACTAAAAAAAAAATTTTTAGAAATATATTTTTTAAAAGCTTCAAATTTTATAAAATTACAATAATTTTTTGAAAAAAAAAAATTTATTGTACTGCTGTGATAAAAAAAAAATAGGTGAAGGAAAAGGAAGAGAATTGTTTTCTAAACGATTCACCGTAAAACCACAAAAATCCAATATAAAATTGTTCATTTATAACAGACTGTTCAGTTTATGTGTTTTTTTTTATTGCTTGAGCAAGAAGAAAAACTGATAAGCAGTTCTGCTCAGTGATCTCGAAGACGAGAAAATTACGGAAAAGCTGGAGACCTTTTCTCATTGTCTTCAAACTTCTATGTATGTTTTTTTCTTGTGTTCAATCAAAAATGTTTAAACATCGGTATTTCAAATTGGTAGCTTCATTTAAAACAAATTTTGCTGTTAAATTAATCAAATAACTATGCACTGTGGTAGACGATAGGTACACTGCAAAGAAAACTCATATTTTCAGTTGTAATTTTCATATAGTTTGCCCAAACCGTTGTTGTTCTGAGTGTTTTAAGTACACAAACATACGCCAACCATTGCAGTCGAAGAAGAAAAGTCAAAAGCTTGGGTATATTTACTCAAAAAACAAACCTAAAGAACAATCCAGCAAAAAAAAAAGTGGAAAAAAGATTCTACAGTGCGTCTTGAAACGTTACTTTTAAACTGCGTTAAAATAATAAACCAAAACTTGAGACATATGTGTCCTATTTATTTGCATATCAATTTGATACTCAAAAACCAATTAATTTGCCATAACCAGACTATCAACAAAAGCATTCTTTTTTGTTTATCAGTCATAAAACTACCAATTGAAAAATCAAAAAACAAAGAAAAAAAAACTGGATAAAAAAATTGAATTACGATTGATAACTGTTCAAAAATATTGTTTTGATTAAAGTCAATGTACACCTCACTAATAAACAATTTTAAAGTGACACATAAAAAACCTGTGAGTGGTAAAAGACAAAAATAAGACGACTAAAAAAAAACTTTTTTCGTCAACAGTTTTGCAAACCAGCTTAACGACGGTGTTCGAAGTGAACTACCAGTTGGAGATTGTGCTCTATCCAAGCTTTGAGTTTTATCAAAACTGGAAAACTTTTGTCAAGAGACCTTCAGGTGCAACTGTCACCGGTCAGTCGTCGTCGAAAAAGTATCATTTGATGCAGGTAACAGTCAAAGAAAACAAAATGACATCACTTTTAGGAAGTTTCACCTGTAGTTTTTAGCAAAAGTGAAAAGAACCAGAAACTGAAAAGCAATAACAACAGCAATAAGCGACTGGCAACCAGAAGAACATCCAGTTATGCTGCAGCTGTATGATACGACTATTTTCTTCTCAATTGCCTTCATTCAACAACTTCCAAAAAATTTTTATAGATTCTAAAGAACTTCAGCGTTCTAAAAAAACAAAAAAAATTGAAAAAAAAAGAAACAAACACTGAATTTAATGAGAAAAAATGATCATATAGAACAACAGAAACACAGAACAATTGCGATAGATAACATACCGTAATTTAACTAATAATGTCGCCTAGTAAATCCTAATTGTTCAAAACTTTAAAGTAAAAAAAATTTACATTACTGCCAAATCTTTTCGCTGTTTAATGACATTCTTTTTTCTTTCAGTTCTCCGTTTGTTTGTTTTTTTTTTTTAAATAAAAAAGAAAAAAAAATAAGTGAAGAAAAGATAAACAGATTCAATGCAATTGCAGATTTTTTTCAGAAATAAATAATTATCTGAAGTTTATAAAATATATTTATTTATTTAATCAGTTTTAGTTTTCAAAATTTCATTCTTCTTGCTTTGTAAACGTTTTTGTGAGTAATCTTTCTTGTTATGTTGAGTATTGGGTGATCTATAAAATTGACATAACACTGTTTATATTGGCAATTTGGAGGTGCAGCTTCAAATTCGACGACCATCATATAATTGCTGTTGCGAAGAACTGGACCAGGAACATACAAAGTCATCTGAAGCAGAATAAGTAGCATACGTATAGAGTTTTTTTTACTGACAGATGGTATATCGTAGTTTAAACAGTTTGAGGATCAAAATCTGCCAAATGTATGCCAATTACCTGTGGGCCAACAACAGGCCAATATCGCCCCAAATTTTTGCCGTTTATTAAAACAACACCTTTATGCCATCCTGTTGTCTCAAAAAATGTATCCGATTTTTCTGTCGCTGTAAAGTAACCAAAATAAATACCCGGGCCAAACTTTCCGTTGCTATATTTATTCTGAAAGATTTTTGCGTACTTAATTTGGTCCAATGCCCTTTGAAATATTAAAACTTTTAAATCACCATCTTACTTTTGCAACAGCCTTTTGTAGTTTTCCTCTCTTGAAGTCTCGTTGAAGCTTATTTTGTAGTAGCTTTAAATCGATTCCACAGTGTCTCCAATTCTCGACAATCTTGCCATCCAAAGTAACATTTGTTAGAATTCCCTATTAAGAGATTTTCTTTTGAGAATTATACACTTTCATCTAGTGTCTAAAGCTGAAATCAGTCATTGCCATTTAGCCATTGTTTAGCGCATAGTCACAGCAACTAAGGCTGCTCTACCTTGAAGTCGTTGAAAGTCTTATAATTCTGCCTTCCCTGGTTCTCGACAATAATGCTTAGACGACTTCCTTTTTTTGCGTTTGTCAAGGTTAGCGATCTCACAGTTCTTTCCCAAAAGTTATTGACGAAAACCCCCTATAACCACTAAAGAAAATATCAGCCATAAGTCTGTTCTGCAGTAATACAAAGTAACAGATTTGTTAACCTTGTCACACGTAATTTTAGCAGAATTTTATATATCGAATAAAGCTTAAGATAAATTTTCAAAGAGCATATAAAATTATGCAATGAAAAAGGAAAAGATTTTGAAATGATAAGTGGTAAAATAAGTGTTCACCGCAGTATATACTCTAGAAACGTGAATACTTCCCATTATATAATGCTTTTGAACTATCACAACCATTTTTACAAAGTTTTAAAAAAATTATTGAATTTTGCTGAAATACTAGGTTTTTCACATAAAATTTCGATTCGAGAACAAACCTGTAAATCACCATCAACAAACGAAAAGCCAAAATCTTTCAGTAATGGTATAGACAAATTTGTTCCTCCAAATTTAAGCTTAGTTGTGTACATAACATATCCTGTAAATATTTTTTAGTAAAGCTACGTAAAAGAGCTGTTTTAAGCAAACTATTAAATTTTTTGCTAGTGAGCAGACCAAATGGATGTCGGATATCTTCAAAAGACAGCGGATATCTGGATGGAATACAGTCTGAACTGCCAAGCCCTGTTTTTAGCAGATAAGTATGGAGACGACCAATATAATTTAACTCTACGTTTCGTATAGATATTTTTCTGCAAAATGAAAAAAGAGAAAAGAGCTAAGGTGCTACCTTACTTTTCGCGAAACTTTGTAATTTGTCTTAGAGTTTTAATTCGGAATAAATGCCACAAGTTTAATGCAAAATACTACCAATAAACTAAGTTTTAAAAAAAAGAATCTGTTTCAGCCAGTGATAAGTAAACAGAGGTGTAACTTTTAATTAACTGTTAAACGGCTAGGCTAAATATTTGAATTGGCAGTTAAAAGAAATTTTATGCAAATACCGATTGTTCGGCGGTATGTCTAGCGGAGGTGTAGGCCAATCTTTTAGTGATTGGATCCAGTTTCTAATAGCTTTGTATGTAGGGGTAATATCTCCGGCTTCACTTATTGGTGCCGTATAATCATAAGAAGTTATCATCTAAAACTTGAGCTTCAACATATTTTTGTCAAAAATGACTGCTTTGCATTAAGCGGAGTAAAGAAATAATTGTTGAATGATGCAGTAAATGAAACTTAAATATAATTTGTTTTTTAAAACTAATATTTTGCACATTACTGATTATGAATTAGCACTTTACAAAATCCTTAACAAAAGAGGAATTCAAACAAACGCTCTATGAAACAAATATCGCTGTTTCAAATCTTGATATTTTTTATAAAAAAAGATTTCAGAAAGCGGAGCAAAATTCTAATCAAATTTGTTTATTAAAAAACTTATTTCACTCTAAGGATAAAATAGTCGATAGTAATTAAAATTTTGTCCTATGCAAATTTCCCATTTTTTCTAATACGGTTTACGAACTAAACGCAAGTTATCTGCTAAATGAAACCGAAAAGGTAAAAACTGACACTAGGCATATATTTTTATACGTCGCAGTGGTAAAATTTAATTCATTTTATCAAGTCGTACATTTAAAATCTTCTAAAATCTACAAATTAAGAAAAAAGCGTAGATAAAAAAAGAGAATTAAAAATATTTCAGTTAAACGTTTTACTTTTTGTTAATTTGTAGTTTATTTTCAAGTTAATTAGTCTGTCTCTTTTGACTAGAAGCTGCCTACTCAACAATGAATTTGTCTTAACATCTTTCGATTATGGCAGTATCACTGCGATCAGCGGTTTTACTTTTCTTATAAAACATTATAATGAGTAGAAAAGCCGATTTGTTCCTCCCTCTTTCTACATCTCATCTTCCTTGTTTTTTTTTCTTTTGTTTTATTTTTTGGTTTTTATCGTGTAAATTTTATGTGTAGACGAGGTCATGCCGTTAACGAAGTACTAATATGTAAGTGAAAAGAAATTTAGATTCGAAAAACTGAAACAAATTAGCTTTTTGAAGTCTTTAAAAAAAAAAAAAAACAATTTAATTTACTGGTGCTGCAGTCCCAGCTCCGTTCCAGAAAGCAAAGTTTGTTCCACCATGTATCATATAAAAATTAAAGTTTGCTCCCATTTCATACATAAATGCTGCTGTTTTAATTAATTCGTCATCCGACGGCAACGTCTGCTGACGTTGTCCCCACAAAACAAACCAACCAGAATAAAATTCCGAATTTACGAGTGGAGCTGCAAGGAGAAAAGACACATTAATTTTACCTGAGTGGTTGTCTAAAAATACTTAATTTTTTGCCCTTATTTGTTTATAGCGTACAGTGACTAACCATTCGGTGCATATCTGCGTTGCATAGTGAACTGAGCTTGCGTACTACTGTTAGACATTGGACCAAAATCAACTGTTGCAAGCGTTCCTTCAACTGAACCACATTTTAGCATCCTTTCAGTTGGGCCGTCAGCTAAACAACGATAAACGATTGGTGAAAAAGTTGGATATGGAACAGTAAGCCAGATTGAAATAAGCACTTGTGTACTGAATAACATCGCTGCCAAGATGCATTCGAACGAGGTCACGCAAGAAACTGGTATAAACTTTATCACATTTATCAAAACTTCCATACTCATTTTCGATTTGTACCATGAGAATTGGTCCACCATTACGATGCAAATATGGTACCAACATCGGAAGTAATATCTCAAACCATTTCTTCACTTCACTTGTGTAACTGCAACGATGAATATTGTTCAAGAGCGACAAATATCCAGGAAGGATTTACAAAATCTGTTATTTTGACAATATTTAAATTTCCTCCTTATCTTATTGTTTAATTAACATAAGTTGTATCAAATAAAACAAAAGTCTTTAAAGAATCTGTTTAAAGGATCTATTTTGTCCTTTTTTTTTCTCGCAAAAAATCTTGAGTTTTTAATTTTAAGTAAAGATGAGCTTACAAATAGCCCGCCTCCCATTAAAAAGCTAATAAGCAATGACCACTCTTACAAAATATTTGAAATTTAAATCAAAAAATCTTGATTTCTCTTAACTGCAGCTACTTCGTAAACTTGTGAGCAAGCCCCACATATTTGTATCTTTAGTTATACAGGAGTCAACCATGAGTTAAAAGCTGTTATATTGTGCTGATTTTCCGTGATTTAATTACAGCTCTTTTACATTTAACCTTACGGTTTTCATATTTCTAAATTTGAATTAGTGGTTAGAAGAAACTGTCTGTTTGGGACAACGACATTATAGCAATATTATCTTGCTAATGATAAACACACTGACAAGTTAACTTGACATAACAAAAAAAAAATTTTGTGTTATTAATATCTGTAGTAATAGCACCTTGGATCTGCGGTACGTAACTTGATCTCCGTGTTTGCCAATAGCCACCACGGTAAACCACCATTTTCCCACTCAGCACATATGTAGGGACCAATTCTAAAAGTTTCAAAAAGTTTTTGCTGGAAGTAAGTTTGTCTTGCAAAACACAATCGGAGTTCGGCAAAATAGAGAGTGAAAAAGTGATCATGACTTAGACTAAAAATCGCCGAACATTCCAAAGAAGTTTCACTGAAACTGTACCGTAGCAAAAGTTTCAAGTCGTTTTTAGCGACAAGTTCAATAAAATGTGTTAAATTTCGTGGGCCATCGAAATTGTAACTGAAAACAGTGCAGGTTAAAATCACTAGTTCTAAAAAGCGATAAACGTAGATGACAGCAAAAAAGCTACTTGAAATGCCTTATAAAATCGGTCCAATTTCTGGCCGGTCAATGATCGGCCACTAAAGTTAGATGCCTGCGCAAAAAAAAATTTTTTACTTTTTTTACCCTTTTTTCAGTTTTGATGTGATTCAAGAGGAAATGTTTAGCAAAAATTGTTAGCTGGTAGATAGAAAAACGAGAACAGGGAAGTAAGAAACGCCAGAAAATAAAGAAAAGACAAATATATTTCTGCAGTCATATAACTCATTTTTTTCTTCTTGGAGAGGCATCATAAAAATAATATAGTAAAACATATGACCACAATTTTTGATTCCAATACATGGACTACAAATAACTGTTTTTACTGCACAGTCTCTAAAACATCAGGCTGCAGTTATGCTGAAACAAGTGATGCTAATTAAATGTTTAATCGTTTCGATTAAGAAAATGCATAAATTTCTGGACTCAAATCATATATTTTTCTACATCTTTCTTTCTTTAATGTTTTATCTCAGTCAAAAGGTTTATATACCCAGAAATGTTCGGCAACAAATGGAACAGAAGTGCGAAAGGTACCACATAGCTAAGTGTTGTAATTCAGCAAATTTCATAGAACATCAAGTGGGGGTGAAATGATGGTGGTGTTCTAAGACGAACAAAGACGAAAGCACCGCTTTTTGCAATCACACTCCATCTTCCAGCCAATACTTTCTCGCTCCACAAAGCTAATTAATTCATTCAAAAAAAAAAAATAAAAATAAAAATAATGATATTTTTGCAACAGAAAATAAATGCATCATCCTTTATGAAGTCTGTAACAATCAAATTTTTCTTCGCAATCTCTTTTTAAACAAAGTTCAGCAAAATGTTATAGCTCCTTCTGTAAGCACAAGATATAATGAATAGTCTTTTAGAAAAATTAGGTACCCAACAGCAAAAAAAATAACTGGAAAATATTTAAGGTAAATACAAGCAAATGTTTTAAAAAACTAATTACATCAAAACCTCAGTTTCTTTTTAAAACCAAAGTTTGAATAATAGTGTATTTCTTGCATCTTTTTTCCAGAGACCGTACTCCCATTTATTAAATCCCTCCTCAGTAAAAAAAAGCTACTACCAAAGTATGCTTCAAAAATTCTGACATTTTTTACTGCAAGATTATACTTTTAAAGCAGGAGAAGGCAGAACAAAAAGAAGACCATTAAAACACTGATAGTTCGCAAACCTTCTTTTTCTAACTTCATGATAGTTCCACGGCACATAAACTTGAACAGCATTTAGTCCAGCTGCACGAATGCGTTTTAAACGGTCCTCCCACAATGCCGGATGAACACGAGAATAATGGATACTTCCGCTAATGTACCTAAAAAACGGTGACTGTGATAAACTGGTCAAGAATTATTATACTGAACAAAAAGTACAGACGACCTCTGCTAAGAAAGGCAAATAAAAGCGGAAAAATAGATTAAAATGCAAAAAACAACGACCAGTTATGTGTGCTACTTGATGACGTATCCGACAAAAAAAATCTTGGATTTTGTCAACAATTCAACAACTGTCTTTAAAGCAGAAGAAAAGACAAGATAACTCACCGAAAGGGTTTTCCATTCAATAAAAATGTGTTGTTGTCGTATGCAAAAGATTGTAAATTGGTGTCAGATTCCGTACAGTAACAGCAGATCCACAGCCCGGTAAGGAAAAAAAGTGCAAATTTGAGCATAATTCTATAAGCATAGAAAAAAATGTGGTGAAAACGGTCGATAGAGATGGGAGAACAAAAAAAAAAGAAATAATAAAAGTAAAAATAAAGACTGAAAAGCAACAGCTATCTGCTGTTTTGTCAGAACTGCTGTTTTGTCAGAACTTTTTAAGAAAAATTTTTTCGGCTGTTTGGGCACTATTAATCAGAAAACAAAAATGTGTGAGAATAATATCGGTTCTTTCTACTGCACTGCTCATCCATATAACAGTATCTGCTTTATCTTTGGCGACTTAATTCCTCTCAATAACCTGTTTAATTTTCACTTCCTCCATACATATCACAAATGCTGCAACAGTTCTGAGTTCACAGAACTGTTGCTGCTTTATGATTCTTTATTGCCCATTCGTTTTGCACATCGGCAGAATAACAACGAAAGTTTCAAATAATTATCAATTCTTTTGTGCAGCTTTGCTCACACAACCAAAAATGTAATTTTAAAAAGGAAAAAAATTTGAATAAAAAGAAAGTCTTTCAAAGCATGCCTTAATAAAAGCATAGACATTTCTCACAAACACTAACAATAAATAAATAAATAAATGAACTAACAGACAAAGATCAAGAGAAAGGAGAAAGCTGTAAGCAGATGTCTTACAAAATTAATACACCTGCTGAGGAATTAACTTTGTATTTTGCAGTTTATCGTTAAATTTTTTAGCATCTTACAAATGCCTAACAAATATAAGGAACAAGTATAAATAGTAGTAGGGCAAAAGGTTATACAGAGACAACTGTTATACAGTCTTAACAAACCGCAACTGTTAAATCACACTTTCTGCAAGTGATCACTACTGTCGCGACAGTACGCGAAATGGCCTTAAGGATCGAAGACGGTAATGGACCAGACATGACCCTAAAGGGAAGCTCTTGGAGGTTATACTGGAAGATTATTGCCAGACAGACAGTATAAAAGAACAAGGTGTTATCAAGAAATTCAATCTCGCGAAAGGAAAGATGAAAGTTGGTGATCTCTCTTGAAGCTTTGCTGTCTCTTTTCTATAATTCTCAAACTTATTTTCTCTGTTCTTTTCCTATTATTTTAGTTACTCTGTTAAATAGTTATTATTGTTTTGCATTTCTTCGGTCAAATTTTATTTGTTTAAGGTTATTGGTTTTGCTTGTGATAATTCTGTATTCTATTACTAGAAGGGGCATTAGAGGCCGGTTTGACCTGTGTTCCTATTCAATCTATAATATTAGAACTTTGGTACGGTGGGAGTTTAGA